TTTTCATTTTACGCTATCGTTTGTTTCGTGGTGTTGCAAAATAAACTGTTTACGGCAATATTTTTTCATCGTTTTGATGGTCACTGTAGTGGCTATATTAATTTCTTAAAGTTCTCTCTTTCTCTTATATTTAATATAACCACACTACAGACGGACAAGCGCCTGTTTTTATGCGTTGTGGTTAGCAACAACGACGGTAACACCATCGCGTGTCCGCTTGTTTATTTTCCACATAAACCTTTCACAATAAAGCTCAAGATCCTGTTGAGACTTTTCAAAATAAACTGAATCACGTGAAAGATGCAGAGTATTTACGGATGAGAAGTAAAAAAGAGCCGCCAGGTGCTAAAAAATAAACCTTAGACTCAAACGTTAGAACAGGCTTTTCCCCGCAGCACGCCGTGTAATAAATACTCACAAAGAAAACGGCGGCCGTTACAACTTATGTCTAAAAATGTATCGTTTCATGCATCGGTTAAAACACTCGACTCCAGCTACATGACGCGCAGCTGGAAACACTTCACGCAAGTCGAGCTGCCCGAGATTCACAGAATTTACAGAAAATGTTAAATTTTTGTGATTTATATCGTTATCGGACGATAGATGTCTTATATCGGGATATGAGATTTTGGTCATATCGCACAGCCTTATTTTGAACCGCCTTTGAAATACTGTCCTATGAGATGGTGTATTTGCTTGCTCTCTATGAGCAGAGGAGACTTGACATTACAACTGTGAACCAGATGCCAGCGTCTCGTAGTTAGAAGTTGGCAAACGTAACTCTAACCATGAGATGTGGGCATAGGGATGATGTTCATTACTTTGTCTTTCTGTCAGCATCGAGGAGCCAATGTCGTTGGAACCAGGAGACAGTCAAGAGGAGCAACCAGCACTAGTTCCCAGTCTGTTTCCCCGTATCCCTCCGACCCTCTACTTCAGCACCGCCAATGAGAAAGGTCAGAGTTGTAACTGTAATATAATAAGTTTACTATCACAGATCATTGATCTTCAGTTATTTATGTGTCTCTGCAACACCCTGTAACTTCTTGATTTATATCTTTACAACACGTCCACATGATCTCATTTATGGCTTTTTTCCTTTTGGGGTCACCAAACGTTTGGTTCCACAGCCTCAGTCGCTGCCGGGGCTAAAGCAGCATGGAAAATAGCTAAATCATTTAGATATGTTTAAGAAGTATTTTTAGACTCCACAGTTACTGCGTTGCAGATATTTACAATGCTTGTTTGTCTAAAAAATGTTTGCTCTTAGCTGGAAGATTGCACTTCTGGTTAATTTACCACTGAATTTGCACTGAATCGGTCTAATTTGTGACTTTGTTATGGCTAATCAAAAAGTAAGTCGAAAAGAAAGTGTTTAATCCCAGAGTGTATGATACCATATATATAAATAGTATATAATCTCTTTTTATTTTTTTATTTTTATTTTTTTTTAAGACCTATTTGAAGACCTTAATCACATTTTTTCAATAATCAAATTTGTGGCACTTTATGCTGTGTTTAACATGGTATACACACAACATCAGATCAGCCTCTGAAGTCATGTTAGCAGTGAGAGCTTTTCTGTCATGTTAACATCCACACACCTGTACAGAATGCACACCTGACCCCTCGACAGATGCTGACCTTCTGTGTCAGCTGACCAACCTGGGAACATCAGTGGTTTGAGCAGCTGTCACCTGTATCATGCGTTAGTTATGTTACTAGGTTTGTGTCCATTTGCATAACTATTTTTCAGCACAGAGTGAGGGACACCTACGCAGTCGTACTTGCATGCAGTTCTCATAAAAACCAGCAGCACATAGCTTTGGATGCCACTGTGCATAGGTCAGATGCTGATGGGTGAATTCAAGCCTGGAACAGAAAAGGAGCTTAGAAAACAGGATGAGAAGGAAAGAGTGGCTGCACTGTTCAGCGCTTTGTTTGTCATAACACGTGTCTGAAGGCCCAACATCAGCACGAGCAGGAGAAGCCCACAGACATGTTGTTAGTGACTCTGTCCCCTGGTGACCGTAAACTGCTACAACACGTGGAGATCGGTCTGCAAAGCTGGCTGTGTGCTGGAGGACCAACCATGCTCCAGCCTTTACAGTCCATCAAGCTTTTTTACAACTTCAGTAAGAGGGACACAGACAAGCCACCCAAATCCACACACCGCCTGAACTATGCTGTCTGTCATTCATACCTGCAGCCATGCAACACCACCAGAAACCAACCAGTATTGCCAAGAAAGAAACTTTGAAAGATCTGCATTAGTTTCTCCATACTTGTAGGTTGCTGGTTAGTGTGACCGATACCACAAGTCTTTATGGTGTGGTTGTAACAGAGCACTCCAGACAAGTGCATAATACCAGCAGTCTCCAAAGTAGGGCTGCCACAAACGATTATTTTGATAGTCAACTAATCAGATCATCATCCATTGGACGTAAAACGTACAGCTGCTTGCACCAGCAGCATCTGCTCTTATATAACTATCATTAGCTTACAGCTCAATGTGTTTAAGGTCTGTGCTAACTAAAAATAAAGACAAGATGACAGTTTGCAGATTGTCTCGGTGGAGTTTAATAAACTCGGCCGTCTGCTCCTTCATATGTAAAATATAACAGGACACTGGAGTAAACTCCCAACCATCTCACACTTCTGATGATCAGCTGTCTGCTTGACGTTTATTCAGCTGTGTAAAAACTAGAACTTTAATCTCAGCCAAACCGATTTACTCAGGAACAAATAAAACACTGGAAAAAGCCAAACAATCAAATGTTTACGTTATCTGAGTGACTTATATATCATGTCTAACCTGAGTAGCCAAAGACCGCAGGGGTTTGAAAATGATGTTCCAGGAGTTCGCTGCTCTCGCCGGCTCTAGTGACCCTTGACCTCCCTGTCGGCTATCGAGCTGGTGGGTAACAGATGTCTCTGAAAACGTTGGAGCACTTTTGGAAAAATGTGATTACTTGATGAACCGAGCAGATATTTGAAGTTTACACAGCTACAGTCTCACCTGAAAATATCTTAAACGTTTATTTTGTGACCCAGAAAGAATAATAAGAGTGATATTAAAACTAAGTAGCTGCTGCCATTGTTGGAAACTGGAATTGGCTGGGCCACGCTATGAATTCTGGGATATGGTGGGTCACAAAGGATACACCTGACCCATCCTCCAGATCTGGGGAAAAGGAGGACGCATTTGACAGCCGAATTTGGACAGGCTTCGTTGCGTCACTGTAATCGGCCTTCAAATGCGGCCTTAGGACGATGCGGCCCCTGAATTTGGACAGAAGGCGTTTAACGGCAGCTGGCATCCTTCTTAGATGCAGTGCTGCCACCTTCTGTTTCAGTCCCTTACTACACTCTTAAATCCTACTGCAGGATCTTACAAAGCTTCAAACGACGCGTCGACTGTTAAAATAGTCGTGGCTACTTCAGAGCCTACATTAATGCTGCTGGGTAAGATAAAACCCATGACAGAGGTTTACTCATCAATCAAACGTGGTGCATTGTTACAAGAGTAATATTCAGTGATCTGTAGATTTCCGGTCTATCACAGTATGTAAACCATTGTATGTGCCCAGAAAACTCCAGCATACATCTGTAGAGCCCACCCTCAGATAATGAGGATAACCCAGGCAGAGAACAATCCTCTGGGGGGTGCTCTCACTTAGTTTGAGCTCTCTCTGCAGTAGAGTAGCACTTCCTGTTCCTCTCAGAACAAACAGAGCACACTCTCCTGCCTCTGTACCCTCTTAACAGAGAAAACCCTCTCCTGATCATTTCCTGATAACATTTACAATAATTGATTACACAGCAGTGGGGAGTGGACTTTATCACAGTAGATGTCTTTCTGAAAGCGCTGTGAAGTTTAAGAATATAATCCACCCACTGTTATCATCTTCAATGCCCTGTACCAACACTGAGCAGAGCAGCTATCTGAACGCTACTCCAACACATGTTGATTATTATGTTAATATTTTCACTTCTTCACTGTATACACCTCTGAATACTGTATTTTACAGCATGTGTTACCTGTTAAAAGAATGAATCGGTGTTCTTTGCAGTGGAACTGCTTCCTGCAGAGCAAAGGCGACTGTTAAAATGGAAGATGAGCACCGTAACTCCTAATATTGTCAAGCAAACCATCGGCAGATCACACTTCAGAGTCACAAAGAGTAAGTTGTTACATGTCGCTACATGTCACACACAGATATTGCTGAAACTGGTTCTTTGAAAATCTCTGGGATTAGCTGTGACAAGATTGCTTTTTTCTAAAATGATTTGTGTACAGTTAAAAAGCAGTTTTTCCTTCCCACTGTCGCTGAGTGCTTGCTCATAAGGGTCATATGATTGTTGAGGTTAGTGTATATCTATGGGGGCAACAAAAACATTAGATGGTGAAGAATTTCAGTCTAATATTTAAAGGCTAAGATAAAAAGGTAACTCCTGACCCTGGCTGATAAACACGTGTTGTCACATAGAAAGCCATGACTGGCTGGGCTGCTGGGGACACCACATGAAGTCTCCTGGCTTCAAAGCTCTTGGAGAACACCAGAAGGTCAGCACCTGCACATGGACTACTCTTGATAGTACGCTGAGAAAGTCCAGATTTTGACTGTACTTTTGTGTATTTGTGTGTCCCAGCTGAACCATTTTCCAGGAACATTTCAGATTGGGAGAAAGGACCGGCTGTGGAGGAACCTATCCAAGATGCAAGTCCGCTTCGGCAAACAAGAGTTCAGTTTTTTCCCCCAGACCTTTGTTCTTCCTCAAGACATCAAGCTGCTCCGCAAAGCCTGGGAGGAAGGGGGCGCCAAACAAAAATGGATCATCAAACCTGTACGTTCAGTTCATACTTTATCAGAGGTGGAAAGAGTACTAAAATATTTTACTCAAGTAAAAGTACTATTACTTTGCTGAAATTTTACTCAAGTACAAGTAAAATTACCTGTCTAAAAATGTACTCAAGTAAAAGTAAAAAGTAGCTCATTTAAAATTTACTCAGAGTAAAAGTTACATAGTTACTTTTTTGTCAGCAGGAGGACAGCCTCTTCTGAGTAGTGCAAAAAAAGACAGTGGGATAAATCTCAAAGTAGTTGTTTTTTAATTAAAAGAAAAACTTTACAAATTAAAGCGCAGTGGCAGTTAAACTGCAAGTCTACACATCAAAATGGATAATGGTCACCAAACCAACCAATTCTTTTACATGAGAATGTGTTCTAATGTCAAATAAGAGAACAAGTACTGAATTGAGCTGTACGGCAGCTGCTATAAAAATGTGTTTTCATTTTTTAAACTTGGCCCTGCTCTGTTAATTTTGAGGAGCAATTCAATTCAATTCAATAAAACTTTATTGATCCTGAAGGTTGACCCCGAAGGAAATTGGGTTAAGGATGCCGACCTTTGCCAGCGCCGACTTACCCTCCGACCATACATACATTACACAAACATCACATGGGGAAGACGGGTCAGAGAGGTATAACAATGGAAAATGCACCACATGAGGATAGATAAGGAGAAAAAAATAACTCCCCCCAGACTGAGCTCCAACAGGGAGATCAGTTTGAGAACAGAAAAAAATCACCTCTGCACATGTGTGAACATATGTGGCTTAAGTAAGAAAGTAGCCGCTTCTGTCTTCTGTCTAATTTAACTATTTTTTTAAAATAAATTATTATTATTAACAAACAGGAAAAATGTAAGTAAACTTACCTCTACATGCTTGCGCAGGTTTGATGTGAAATTTTTAAAAGCTGCTAACTCGGTCTCTCTGGGCAAACACAGCTTACACTGCATAATAAAGCTGCTGCCTTTCTTGCACTTGAAGCCGAAATGGTCCCTTAAATACGGCCAGGGGTTCACATCCGTTTCTTCGAGTTCAGGGTCAGCAGAATTCGACGGGGTTTCTTTTTTCGCTGGATCCGTACCACCGATGTCAGACTCCATCTTTATCCTGACCCAACGCTAATTTGTTCTACTACCCATCATTCCCTGCTGTATTTCCGAAGCTGTTTGTTCTTTTAATTTACTCAGTAACGGGTGTGATTGAAAATGTAGCGAAGTACAATACTTTTTAAAAAATATACTTAAGTAAAAGTAAAATTACCGACTTGAAAAATGACTTTAAAAAGTGCAAATACACAAAAAAACTACTCAATTACAGTAATGCAAGTAAATGTAATTCGTTACTTTCCACCTTTGAATTTTATGTACCGAAGATCTGCAGGCACGTCTGTGATTGTAATAGACAGCACACTATCACACTATCTGCCAGATTTACTTAGCAGGGATATTAGCATAAAAAACATACACAGCACACATTCATGCAGAAGCTTCCAGTTCATTTCATCGACTAAAGGAAACTAGCTGCTCAGACGGAGCGAGTAATCTAGTAACAGAAATTTCACTGTCTTTATGGAAACAACAGTTCAGATGAACTTCCCATTACAGCTGAGATGGTTTGTTGTTGTGGAGGTGGAAGCAGCTGGTTTATTAAAGTCACAAACACCTACGGGGCAACAAACATGTGCAACAATACAACCGTCTGACGCACATTAGCTTTATTTCCTTAAGATAATTAAATATGTTATAGATTATAAACTAGAGACAGGTTGAACTATGGAAAAAACAAAGTGTCATTGTACAGCTCTGTGTGTTGGCACTGTTAACACACAGAGGCTTCCTGTAGTCTGAGTAAAACCACTGTGTGGATCCACCTGCACATATTACACATGATTTGTATATGAATCGAGTAAAATATGTTTGATTTATGTTTTAGTTTATTGTTATTACTTGTTTCCTCTCTTTTTTTTTTCTTCCATAGCCCGCATCAGCCAGAGGAATAGGCATTCAGGTTATCCACAAGTGGAGTCAGATGCCTCGTAAAAGACCTCTACTTGTTCAGAAGTGAGTAATCCTTTAATAGTTTAGAGCTCAGCAGCCTAAGTAACTCAGTGTTGCTGCATTAACATACTCTAACTGGATGTTTGCAGGTATCTAGATAAGCCCTACCTCATCAGTGGGAACAAGTTTGACTTGCGTCTCTACGTCTATGTGACATCTTACAACCCACTCAGAGTCTACATGTTCTCAGACGGACTGGTTCGATTTGCTAGCTGCAAGTGAGTTTTCCACCACGTTGATCGTGCCACTTAATTTCACATGGGATGCATATGAATGAGATTCAGTTATCACCCCTCCATGCCTCTAGGTATTCGTCTTCCATGAAGACTCTGAGTAATAAGTTCATGCACCTGACCAACTACAGTGTCAACAAGAAGAACTCTGAGTACCAGACCAACAGTGATTACAAGGCCTGCCAGGGGCACAAATGGTAACACTGAAGTGTGAATTGTAGAGAATGTGACCTTTTGACCTTTGGACACAGATGTAGGCGGCTTTTCAATGCTGTGCCAGGCTTTTTTGTCTGAGCTCTCCTCGCTGCACAGCATACGCCGTGTTGTTAAGCTTTTTTGAATGAGCCCGTTTCTCCTCCTCGTCCGTTCTCTGGCTGTAGCGTTTTGGACCAGTGAACAGTTTATCAAGGAGCTTTTAGTATAACCTGATAAGGAAATACAACAGTGTAGTGTAGAATGTCTTTGCTGTTTCTGTATGTATGACTTGGGAGGATATTACTTTGTGTTTTCAGGGCTCTGAAGGCCTTGTGGCAGTACCTCGGGTCAAAGGGAGTCAATACCACCCTGATATGGGAGAAGATTAAAGACATCGTGATCAAAACTATCATAGCGTAAGTTTGCCTGCTCAGTGACTGGCTGCAGAGATCAGTTTGTTTTTATTATATCTTTTAGCTAAAACCATCTGCATCCATAAACTACTCGTGCAACAGACAGACTCGCAGACAGATTCCCACCCATTGTTTAACTGTTCGAGCTCAAAGGTTCTTTTCCCAGTTTTAATTGCTTCACAGCTGAGTCCCTATCTAGAGTAAATATTGGTATTTGATTTGAATCTTTGTTTTTATTTTTATAGCCTGTGATATTTTTTTAGATGTGTATTTCAATGCAGAAATTGTGATATCTTTCCACTGAGGAACATGTCCTTAAAAATGCTCTAAAAGGTGCTAACCTCACAAACGTGCTGCACCTTTAAAGCTAAAAAGGTTGTTAAAAGAAAAGACCCCTGTATGTATTTCTGAAGACTAAACTGTGCATTAGGACAATGATTAAGATGCTGAAATCAGCTTCCTCCCTCTGTGTCGTGGCCAGGTCAGAGCCGTATGTTAACAGCCTGATGAAGCTGCACGTTCGGACACCTTACAGCTGCCACGAGCTGTTTGGCTTCGACATCCTGCTGGACGAGAATCTCAAACCCTGGATTCTAGAAGTGAACATATCGCCTAGGTAACAAATGCCCACATTAAAATAACACATTTCTTTTAAAAAAAAAAGTTACCTTTAACTACATCTGTAACTCTGATCCAGCCTTCACTCCAACACGGGGCTCGATGTTTCCATAAAGGGTCAGATGATCAAAGATCTCCTGAACTTGGCTGGCTTTCGTATTCCTTCAAGAGAAGATGTGGTTACCCCCTGCAGCAGTGCATCCAGCTCCACCAGCAGGTAACAATAAGACACTACCCCTCTGGGTTTTTAGCTGCAGCCTCAGAAATGACCTCGTCATGAACGTGTGTGTACTTGTTCGTTTGTAGTTTGTGTGCAGGGAATGGAGAGAGGCCCAAAGTGGATCTGTCTGCTGATGAGAAGGTCAAAAGAGCCTTTTATCTGAAACAGGGTGAAGCTAACCGGGTACACACACACACACACACACACACACACACACACACACACACACACACAGGTTTACACAGTGACTTTAATAGTTTAACAGGAAGCGTAAGTGCATACAGCTACAGGTTTTTTGGTTATTATTATTTATTAATTGGTTGCTTGTGGTAGAAACAAGCACTGGTCTCATTGTTAGCAATAACACAAAGAAGCAGTTATGACCTTGTGCCTTTCATTCTCTCTCTCAGGACTTGATGCACACGGTGTTGGATGTTTTGACTCCAGAGGAAATCCGGGTTCTGGCAGAGAGTGAAGATGAGCTGAACCGTCGAGGAGAGTTCGAGCGCGTTTTCCCATCACCATCATCATCTCGCTACCTTCGCTTCTTTGAGTGTCCAAGATACCTCAACATCTTACTGGATGAGTGGGAGCAGAAGTACTGGAACAACAGGGCGAAATGTATGTGCACTGCTGTTTTGAAATAAGATAACGGTCACCTGACTGATGTTAACTTTTCTTTTAGGTTTTGCAGTTCTTGATAACTGTAACTTTGTCAAAACACTGTCAGATTCTGTAGTTTTCTCTGATCCCTTCCCCCATTTGGAACAGGATTGATATGTTTAGCTGTCTGTCTGAGTGATGTCCAAAAATGAAGCAGGCAGTATAGATATTTGGGAGAAAACGCCCACCCCCTTAGAGCCTGCGTCTGCTTCCCGACCACCGAAGAAACAACCATAAATCATTTCAGCATAAAACAGAACAGTCCGGTATCCACATCTGCACCAAAGAGTAAATCAGTGAAATGTGGATTGTTAAACATCAGGTCATGAGCTAATAATTGATGATCCTCACAGAAACCTGGTGATAGCAGGATGATTATGTCGGTTTACATGAATCTATATCCCACAGTATTTGTCTTTCTAAAGTGCTGTAACTAAGTTTAAGGATATAATTCACCCACTGTTATCCTCTTCAATGCGCTGTACCATCACAGAGCAGAAACAGCTTTAGTGAAGGTTACAGATGATCTTCTTATGGCCTCTGACAGTGGACTCATCTCTGTGCTTGTCCTGCTGGACCTAAACACACAAATCAGTCCGTGCATGATTGCATTGCTCCGCCCATCAAATGGTCTGTGCATATATCGCCTATCGTCGGTTATTGGACTGATGAATTTTTACATATCACCCATCCCTCGTGTATATGGTGGTAAAAACCATTCTGGCAAAATGAACTAATAATAACATCAAACAAACATAGAAAAGGTATTGCAGCTCATGCGACTCATGATTGTTATCTGCTATTTCTGATTTATTTATTTTAAGCTGTCGGTACTCCAGTGGGCTGGGGGGCACTAACCTTGTAGTATGGTTTGTTCATCTCCTGCTGGTCCATGTGCAACTTCACTGTTATGTATTCAGCTGGACTGCTGTGACTTTGGCGTGTAGCCACAGAGGGAAGGGAAAACAGTGAAACTGCAGCTCAGGTTTGCTTTGTCTTATGTGCAGGTATCAGCCTACTGAGACCTCTCTGCCAGCAAGGAGTCCATCTGGGAACCAGTGACCCTGCTCACATGGTGAGAAACTGCAGAACAATGAAAGGAAAACATAAAACTAGAAGAGAAAGTGGCTCCTTTAAAATGCTGAAATCAGTCTGTCTTTGTAGTGGTGTAAGTACAGCTCCAGCTCCAGGTTTGAACACAACAGACAGGACGTGGTTAGCCCTTCCAGAGCCAGGTACAGGGTTTATTCCAGTAATACACCTATCATATGGAAGTTAGAGTAATAAAGGATGTGGGTTTATTGCACACTGGTCTCTAAGTGAACTCTGCTGCCCTCTCCTGTGTTGTCCTTCAGGGTGGTGGTCAGCCATCAGCTCTGGTCTCAACGCAACAGCAGTATTGACGAGGATCACCAGCAGTGCCTGGATCACCAGCAGTGCCTCGGCCCGGCCTCACCCACAGCCTGCTGTCCCAGCAGTCGGCCTAACTCTGATGATCTGATTTCCTAACCCAGAATACACTGAAAGCTCAGGGTCTGTTTCTTCCCATCCTCTAACCAGTGCTGTCATTTAGCCCTCACTAATCACCAGAAACAGCAAACAAACTGTTGGAGGGAGTGGATTTTTAGGGTTTAACCCCCTATTTTGTCTCGTTTTAAACTAAAGATTAATAATATATCATTTGTTAAGCATCTCGAAGGTGAGGTAATGAGTAATGGAACAGCACTGTAATTCTTGTGTCTTTAAAAATGACTGTTGGTTTTTAAAAAGAGCCTCGAACATCTGTGTGGGACTGGGAGCTGTTTGTGTGTCACTGCTAACTTTGGGGGTTTCTCTGGGTGAAGGTGTTACTGGGTGTTTGACAGAATCTTCTTCTGATGATAGTGACTTACAGGGTCTTGCTTGATGATCAAATATTTACTAAATGGCCTATGATGTGCAAATTGATGGTATTAAAATTTGAGCAGTTTGACTTGAACTTGCAAAACGGACTGTCCTTTACACACAGTGTTTCATGGAGGCTGCCAAGTGCAAGTAAAGCACCAGAATCTAGGTAACAGGTAGAGATGGGTATCGTTTAGGTTTTATCCGATACCGGTGCCAAATCTGTACTTTTGAAATGGTGCTGGTGCTTAAACGGTGCTCGAACCGGTGCTTAAACAATGGAGAACACAAACTTTGTCCAAAAACCTCTCATGTTTTTATTTTTAGCAGTCTCTTTTTTTCTGCAAAATGACAAGCACCGTCCAGCCCCACACATGGGGCGATCCGCGTTAACTTGCTAATGGAGATTTACCACACCCGCAGTAGATGCGCTCGGTGTGAGGTCTCGCAGCAAGCTGTCAAATATGGTGCATTTCTCTGCTTTTAACAAAACGCTATGCGTCGCCAGGTGTTTCATCAAATTCGAGGTGTTACCTCCTTTGCACAGTATCAGCTTAAAGCACTTGTTGCTGCTGAGTTTGCATCTTTTGCTGTGAAGTACAGCCAGACTTTGACCGCTTCGCCTTGGGCATTTTTAATCTGTAGCTCTGCTCTAAAAGAACGTATGTACCTGGACCCGCCTACTATCCTCGGAAACGTAAAACGATTGGCTGGAATCCAAAGTGTGTGACATCTCAGGGGAAAAAAAAGCACTGAAATAAAGCACCGAAATGTGCGCTGCTTTTCGGTCTGGTTACTACCGTTTATGTCAGAACCACCGGTACCCATCCTTAGTAATAGGTAACCATAGGTTCTTTGAACACAGTGCATCTCCCAATACTTTGTGTTTCTATGAGTTACACTTGCATTGCTCTCTGTTAGATTCAAAGACTGTTTGTTCCCCCAAACACGGCGAGTGCAGTGTTAGACTGAGCCAAAGAGCCACAGTAAACATGAATGGGGTAAACTGGATAGAGCTGAGTTGTTGTTGGTAGGCGAGTTCCTCATTTTCAGGAGAAAAAAAGCTGCTGATGTTCTTTCAAGGTGATTTTGATTCAAGAATAAACTGATAAAAATGTTTTGGTACATCTTCTGTTAAAACTGAAAAATATCACAAGCAACGCTATTGGAACAGTGTTATAGCTGCCAGATGTTTGTCACTACTGCATAATTATTTTCAGTTCTCTTCGTCATAGCAGGAACTTTAAAGGAGACGTGTTTGATTCTTGAACTGTACTTGGGAGACATCCTCTGCTGGGTGGCAGATGAACAAATTGATGTTGGTAGGAGAGAGAAGACGAATATGCCAAAGTGCATTTTCTTACATTTAAGAAGCAGTTGAAGCTTCAAGTCCAAAAACGGCTGCCGTGTCTCTTTGCTGCCTCGGGAGATCCAAACGAACAAAAGCCCCACAGCCAGACAGTTCATGTTTTTTATTATGTGTGATAAACCTTCTCCACGGTACAGTGTGGGCAGTAAAAGACAAAACACAAATATGTGATGCTAATTATGACAAATCCGTCTTACAGGTAACAATGAATCTAGCCTTTGAAGCAGTTTAAAGAGTTTTGGCTCAAAGGGAGCACTTTACTGCATTATTTGAAGCCACAATATGAATGTCTGACAGACACAGAACTGACTGGTTCCTATATAGTGCTTTTCTACTCTGCTTGAACACTCAAAGCACTTACACCTACATTTATGCAGATACTTGTTTCTATTCCTAAGATTGACACTCTGGACACATCAGGAGCAACTTGTGGTTCGGTATCCTGTCCAAGGATGGTGTGCATACTGGAAGGATCGAACCATCGACCTTCCAGATTACTATATGACGTGCTCTAACTCCTGAGCACAGCGTGACAATGACAATAGCAACAAATCTGAAAGAAAAGTCATGAAGTTTGGGGTTTTTCTTTGCCCCAGCCAGGCTTTGTGTAAAATCGGTCAGTACAGGTAAGAGGTGTTGGTTTGGGTTTTTCCCTTTTTTTTTGTCACTTACTCTGATTTGATGAATATTAAATTAAAGAGAGTTGGGCTGCTTATAAATAGTAGCTTCTTTTTCACTTGGTGCCTTTTGAGAAGCAGCCTGCATTCAGCAGATCTAACAAACAAATGTTTTCTGGTGTTTGTTTCTCCACGAGATGGAAATTAAGGGGGACATAATTTCGGTAGTTTGGAACTAGCAGTTTTGTGGTGCTACTCTTTTATTGGAGGAAATGAGTGAGGGCGCCTCCATTAGTGGGGGTGGGGAAAAAACGTAGTTTTAGATATGAATTTATACAGATTAACTACATGGGTCCAGTCACTATACAGTGGATCAAATAAGGTTCCTGTGAGTACTATGGGAGCCATAATCTGGAACAAGAAAGAACATAATTTCACCATAAACCAGCCAAGACCAGTTGCTCCCCACAAGATTTCAGACAGAGAAGTGAAAATTATCAGAAGAGTTGTCCAAGTGCTGAGGACCAAAACTACAAAAGGACCTGGAATCATCAGGTGCAATGGTTTCAAAGAAAACAAATTCAAAATTCAAATT